GTGGCGCTCTAACCTCGCCACTGCGCACGCACGACTGCAGATAGCACTGGGTACCCCGCATCGACGCAGCGCCCTCCAGCGAGAGAAGGCGAGCCTCCTCTTCAGCAGCTGCCCGAGAAGCCCCGACGCGAACGCCAGCGATGACGCCGGCGGCGCGGGTGTGGAACTTCTCCAGGCGCTCCGGCGCCGACAGCGAAGCCGTGTTGCAGCGCGCCACTGCCCCGTAGAGGAGTTTGTGGACCCACCAGCGAGGGTCTTGAGCAGCGGACGCAGTATTTTACATTTCGGCCCCCATGTTGTCGCTGGCACCGCCTTGATCTTCATAAGTCTTGTTTTTGCGACAGTGAAGCACCCCCGCACCTGCCGGCCAACCCCGCGCAATGGCTGGATCAAAACCGCCCCAACAACCGCGGGAGGCAATCCTGCGACAAGCGGGCCCCTCCCGCGTGCAGTTCCACGCTCTCCGTGAGTGCGGTGCCAAAACAGCGCGCACTTTGTCTTCGCGGCGCTGGGCTCCATGTTGTTCCGCTCCGCCCATCTTGAGACGCTATCCGACGCCTGCCGCAACGTGCGCTCCATGGCGCCTCTCCCTCTCTCGATGATGCGAGTAATGGCGGTCAGGTCGTCGGCGAAAAAAGCAAGTTCAAGGTTGGGGATGCTCATCAGCTCCTCACTGAGGCTGTTCGCGGCAACGGCGGGCGGCAGCGTGCCGAGCACGAACCCTGCGGGACGCCACGGGTGAAATGAACCGGTTCGGTGGGCGTATTTTGTACACGCGGCTTTTGGCCGTGCAGCTGTGCAGGAAGTCCGCCTCCCACCGGCTCAGGCACGGCGCCACCTTGTGCGCGCGGGGTGCGTGAAGGATGCGGCCGCGATCAACCATGCCGAAGGCCCCAGCGTGACCCACTAGCACCGCACCGACCTTCCCCCGCTTGCCACGGTGAAATGGTCCGAGCAAACAGGCGAGCTAACGGATCCAACGTGGAGCGAGCAGGGCGAAAACCAGCTTGCTAGGGAAAAGTACTTGGGCTTCAACTGTGCCGCGGGTGCATCGTGCCACAATTCTTTCCACGAGCTTGCGCGAGCAGCTGGTGAGGGCGACGGGCCGAAGCGAGGCGGGAAACATTTGCCCGGCTTCCCAGGCTTGAGGAGCGGGACAATTGCAATGCCCACTTCCCAGGAAGCCGGAACGCCACCGTCGCCGATGCTCCCGTTGAACGCGGCCGCGAGTTCCTTGCGGGCGGCGAGGGGCAGTTGGCGCAGGGCCTCGCAGTGAAGCGCGCCAGGCCCCGGCGCACTCCGGAGACGCATCTCCCGCGATGCAGCGTCAAGCTCCCCAAAGGGAAATCGGACGTGGCGGCGCACACTCGCGCCAAGGCGTCGGCGCGCTCCTTTGTGGCGGTCGGTTGGCCATCCGCCGCCGCAACCGGCAAACTGGCGGGGCGCGGGGCGCGGACTGCCCTGGCGAGGCCGCAGCTTGCCGCCTCCGCCGGCACCGATCGGGAGCACCGCCCCTTCGAGCGAGCAACTGCGACATTGCGAAGGCGCGTTCGTCGCTGCTGTGCGAGGCGGCGAAGCGGCAAGTTCCTGCGCGCCTCTCCGATGCGGTCCTTTTCGGCGTCCGGAGCGGCGGGCGTTTGGCCACCGCATGCGGCACAGTGCGCTTCACTGCTCTGCGGGCCGCGGCTGCAAACTGCCGAATGCCGCCGTGGATATTTACGGATGAGCGATCCGTCTGCCGAATGCGCGGGGGTTCTCGGTGATCCACCCAGCCGTCGTCCCTGCGTCTCTTGCGGGGCGCTGCTCTTTTCCGGACGGAGACCCGGACGCGCTTGATTTATTTGATGCGGCGGCGGGTGGCGCGTATTTCCCCCGCGTCTGCTCGCGAATACTTCCTAACACAGCGCCCATGCGCAGCCCAATCTGCCTCCTTCCGGCCGCGCCGCCCGCGGGGTCCGCGAAAAGCGATGGGGCGATTTGTTGTCTCGCCAACCTGCGCATCGTGCGTGGCCCACGCATCGTCGCTGTCCGCCGTGAAGCGGGCCGCCCACCCATCGACTCGCACCGAGTCCGGCAGCGTCACGCCCGGGGCGGCGGAAGCGGCAGCTCCACCGACGGCTTCCTCCACTCGAGCACCGCGGTACCGCGGCACGCGCGAAAACCCGTTTGTCAAACGCCGAACCACCAAAGTT